TAGATAGGTTAGTAGTCTGTGCTAAATGCCAACTACCTGTCAACCTCAAGAAAAAATGGTCAAGGGGATGATTTTAAAATAAACCATTTAAACAGCATCAGAGCTGAACCCCATAAAGCAACAACTAGTTTTTAAAAACAATCTTCAAATGTGGTTCACGAACAACAAAACAAGAGCAAAAAACATTTCTCTATCTATTGGCCAGAAGCTTATTTCTAATGCTTATGTTGCATTTAGCATGCACTTTTTTATATTTCGGTCTGTTTGCAAATGTCAACAAACACAACATAATTGTTGCCTTTGGCAACTTAAATCTTCAACAACATACCAACTGGTGAATTTTAAAAACTCAACATTCTGGAAAATTCTAGAATGTTTATTTTTCCTCCTCTGGATCATACTAACTTTGCAGGGCTGGTCTGTCAGTTCTGTTCTGTTCTATAAAAATTTTTTAAGTGCCCAATAGCCAAAACTTTCCAAGTAGTTTATAATAAAACTTCTACACTGAAAGAATGTTATGTTCTGAAAGGCTGCATTGGGGTGTGGTCCAGATAAGTAATGTTTCATTCCAATGAGGACTGTGCATACCTTGGTGCAACTGTCTCTGTACATACGTGCAAAGTATATTTTTCGCCTGTCAAACTATCTGAAGAGGAAAGTCAATACACACAAACAGGGACAATGTTTATTTCTTTTATCACAGTTACATATTGCAATCTGTGAAAACCAATTTCTCTATAGCTGAAAATTCCAAAATCAGCATAAATCTATCTACCAGCCTTTTTCTTACGTCCACAACTATTTCTCCATCTCTGTATGCATTTAGGAGGATACTTTTCTCTTTATTGAAATTAGTTTTTGCCACTGGTTGTGAGGATGGATTCTTTGCTGGTAGTTATTACTGAATATAATAATGCTCCGGGTTTCCTTGGCCTGCATATTTTTAAAGCTTATTTCGGAATGTCAGAGAGTTAAAACAACATGGTATATAACTCCAAAACACAAGGCATTTCATTCCCAGCCTGGAACTTTCAAAACAGCCTTTTTTGAGAATTAAACCTTTTGCAAATCCTAATCATCTTCCTTTATTATAATTGTGAAAAAGTGAGATCAGTTTTATGTTAACAATAGCTTTATTCATCTAAGTAAAAGTTGTACCTTGATAGTTTTTGGAAGCTGGTTATAAGTAGTTTCTAGTAGTTCAGAATACTGAACATAATCTTCCTTACATTTTAGTTATTCAAGGAAACAAGCTTTTTTAAAAAGGTGACTTCTCTTGAACCAAAGCTCTTTTCCTGATAACTATCAATAACAGGAAACTGAATGAAGCATATAGCAAAACTACAACTGGCCCCATTTTTCTGAGTGCAACTTATCATTAAGAATGTCCTTCCTCTGGCATTTATCGTCAAGAGCTAAAGAGTCAAGGCACCCTACTATACCTAGGCTGCAAAGATCCAAATAACTGCAAGATGGCAGCAAAGAAATATAAGAAATGGCAACAGTTTGATTAATGACTATTGATTGTCCAGATTGCCTAACTATGGCCACCCTAGCTGAGTAAAAGACATTCATATACCAAAAACACCTGTAAAATATTTGTTAGATTTATACCCACTTCCATCTCTCCCAAAAAAAGAAAACCCCTTGTGATAGTGTCCATAGCATCTCCTCCTGCATTCTTCCTCCACAATTATAAAAGTTGGGTTGAGACAGAATACCTTGTCCCATTCAAATATTTTCAATGGCTAAAAAAGAATTTAACTTGGATTTCCACTATCCTAGTCCAACCAGTTATCCACTGTAGCACTTTTATTTTTCATGGCCACAATATATGTTCGAAGGAGAAAAAGGGAGATGGGGAATGTTTATAATGAGCTTCATCTCAGTTGTTCTTTATCTGTTGTAGTAAACGTGTGGGATATAATACCCCACCCCCAAATTAGATACTGCTACACGAGCTACAGCAAAGGTGCAGAACTTTGCCAGCATTATTTGGCAGAGTCAGATTCTGGTTAGTGGTGGATGAAGTCAAATATGAATGCCATACTTCTTTTTCTGCTTTTCTGATACCCAGTTTTGCTTAACTCTTTTCTCTATTCTGCCCTTTTCTAACTCTTGGGCTCCTGGGAGAACATATTGCTCTTATTAGAGGTCTGAATTATTATTTTGCAGGGTGTAATCTGAGGGTTATATTTTTGGCAACTTCAGGAGTAGAGGAATATTTATCTGCTCTATTGAGAATTGTTAATACCACTGAATGTACTAAATGTAGAGCTTGTTGATATGTAATATTGAGACTAGGGTCACTCTCTGCTCCTTTGGTCCCTCTGCTAGTGTAAATAAATTGGAATGTTTTTTTTTTCATCCTTGTTAGCAGATATGTAAGTTTGAGCATTCTGAATTCGCAAGAACTGGGTCAAAATTGCTGGGGAGAATTTTACACTTTGGCCTCATTGGAGAGGCCATTGTGGAAATTAAGAAATGAAATACAAATTATGGGACCAAGTCCCAAAAGGTGAGGGCAAAAAATGCCTTGCTTCTATAAAAAGAAAATAACCAGCTATTAAACCAATTGTTACACAAACTATTTCAGCATATAAAGAAAGTATACAGAAAGCAGTTATGACTCAGTAAATGCTAGTTCTTCCTGGCAGTTTATTATGTTGTGATGTTACTGGAGATTTTCATCTGTATTATTCAGTACCTTATTCCAGGAATTTACTTCTGCAGAACATTCCATCAAGGTCAGATAAACATTACTGCAAGCAGCATATTATTATCAACCTATATTGAACCTTGGTATAAAGTTTTCACATTATTCATTTGAACCTTTGGGGGGGTCTGTAAAGGACCCTATTTGTTTTCTTTTGATTTATCGCCAAACTACCCTACCTTGGCTCAACTACATATTTCTGAACGAACATTGTTTAGAATGCCTCTAGTCATAAAATATATTCAATAGATGATGCCTGTTTGTTTGGGAGGGGAATGAGTCTAAATTAAAGATGCTTTCAATCTTCTTCTGGGAACAAGTTATGGAATTGGAGAATATGGTTTGCTGTACTGGTGGATCACTTTGCATCCAGAACCTATTGGAAGGAAAAATTGAGGCAGTTTTTATAAACCATTACAGGAAATTAGGAATTACTCTCCAACGAGGTCATTTAAAAATATGCACAATCTAAATTAGTAATTGTTATTCTTTTAAGACTACCTTTCCATTTTTCTTTATGATAGAATGAAAAATTTGGGCCATGTATAAAATTTTGACAGATTTGGAATATACCATATGGAGGGATACCGCAAAACTAATCAAGTGTCTGACTTCTGTTATGGAAGATACTATATAGTACAGTGGTGAAGTTCAATTTTTTTTACTACCAGTTCTGTGGGTGTGGCTTGGTGGGCATCGCAGGAGAAGGATACTGCAAAATCCCCATTTCCTCCCCACTCCTGGGGGAAGGATATTGCAAAATCTCTATTCCCACCCCACTCTGGGGCCAGCCAGAGATGGTATTTGCCAGTTCTCTGAACTACTCAAAATTTCCGTTACCAGTTCTCCAGAACCTGTCAGAACCTGCTGAATTTCACCCCTGATATAGTACTAGTATAGTACTGTTATAGGCTCCGTTCCATATACAGACAATGCTGAAGGGAGATTTTTGAGTAATGTGATGGTGTCTCAAATGCTAATCTGAGCAATAATTTCCATTTCTTATAGGACTAGTTCTGTGATAAAGTACATACTATACAACCAAATAGCTAACAATAATAGTTCAGATTCAGTCTCCATTGTTTTTGGATAAAATAACTAGAGAATGGGTTTAGAATAGTCCTGAAAGGACTAATGGGCTGATTTAAGGAAAGTACTATTTATTTTGTTTATAGCTACCTTAATCACTGAATAAAAATATAACACCAGTCTCATGAATTTTATCATAAACCATTGAGGAAAAGTTTCATGTCATAGTGGAGCAAATGATAGGGACCCTCCTTTATTCATTAGTTTAATTTTAATTTTGATTTTTTTTTTGCATTCCTAATTGCATCCTGTCTTCCCTTCCGCTATTTGCTGCACCACTGCTTCCAAGTCTTTTAACTCTGTATTTTCCTGGCAAAATGCCCAGAACTTCTTCAAAACTAGCCCAGCTCTATTTGACAGAAACTTTACTTCCCAATGGGCAGGCATTCTTCATTGCTACCCTATCGCTTGCAATTTCTAGCTACACCAAAAGGTTTTCTAAAGACAAAAATGAGATGCGTTTACACACCCTGATTCCTCTTCCAGATGTCTTCAGCACTCTGAAATACTATCCTGTCTCTGGAAATTGGCAAATAGGGATTTCTGGGTTAAAAAGCATGCCTGCTAAGATCTTATTCCCTCCTCTGTTCATCTGGCTTCAAAACAATTTCATGGCAAAAGAGTAATTGCTCAGCTCTGATATCCTTCTGGGTATTAAAAAGCTCAGAGTTCTCCTGGATTGGAGTGGCATATGAGGTCCAGTAAATAATTAGCCTTTATAATATCATGACTCCATTTAAATATCCTGTAGCATAAACTTTGACTAAGTGAAAATGTCACTTTAAACCAAAACATTATTCCCTTTATATCCGCATATTGTATGAATAAACCTAGCCAATTGTGGTTTATTTAAAAAAAACTGTGATTAAATAAATCATGATTAAGACAATCTACACTTGTTTCATCTCTCTCTCTCTCTCCCTCCCTCCCTCTCTCCCTCCCTCCTTTTTTTCAATGCTATGTTCTCCCACTTACCTGGTGTAGCAATATATGCTTCTCAAGAAAAGGAAGTTCAAGATAAAGACCATGACAACTAAGTGGCTGAAAAGCTGGCTTCTCCTGGTTCACTGAACACATAGTGATGCAAGTCCTTGTTAACATATCACGTCTACTTCTTTATTCTGATTTACAGTTTTGGTGACAAATCACTTCTGAATAATCACATAACTCTTGCGGTGCTTGAATTATACAAATATCAGCAATTTCAAGTTACATCAACATGCCAGTTGGGTACCAAATCCATGACCAACATACTGTATAAGATCATGATAACACTGGAGCTTCTAGCCTTGTAAATACAATGATTATTCTAACATTTCCACATACTTGTATTGTTAGCATTTTATAGCATTAATATATAGTATTCTAACATTATATCATATAGAGCATTTTAGTATTTGCATTACTAAACATTCATAGTAAAGCAGATGGTAATAAACTTCCTAAGCAAGCGGTAGGAAGCGTTTCTTCTTTCTGTCTATTTTTGTAATTATGGATAGGATAATATACAAAGAGTCCTCACTTACTGACTGCAAACCACTTGGGACTAGCAAGTCCATTAAGTGTCATAAAGTGAAAAATCAAGTGACTGTGCCCAACTTTATGAGTTGCAGCTGTAATCATTAACTGTGATTTGCTACTTCCTGCTAGCTTCCCTCCCCCTTTTGGGGGGGGAGGGAAGCTGGCTGTGAAGGCCACAAATGGTGATCACGTGATCATGCACACTGGTTGTCATATGACATCAGGTATGATGTGACAACTACAACTACAAATCTCATTATTCAATCTTGTTATAGCTTCTAATAGTCACTGATTTAACCAATGACTACCTATACCATCTGTAAAACGTTTTATATATTCTCTTAAATTATAGTTTGGAATAAATATTATTGAATTTTCTACAAGTCTTCCCATTATTGTACTGTAATTGTTTCTTTAAAATTATGCATCCATTTTGTCATACATCGTTTAACTTGTTCTGTTTCTAAGTCATATGTTAATAGCAATTTTTATATATGATCTATAGGTTCACTATAAGTGTTTCAGTTTCTGTCACTTGTCTTAAAAACTTAAAGTTGTTTATTCTTCTGGTAATCAAGAAATCAGGCATGGCAAATTTTCGGCTTCACCAGATAATTCTTGCTATGTTGTTTGTCTATTTCTGGATATGCTATATCTGCATACATAATTACACATTTCTTACAATAATTGTCTCCAGAATAAAAGGATTTTGAAGCTGAAGCAAAAGGCAAGATTGTCTTATCATATGTCCTGTTATTTACTTATGTTTTGTTTTCTATGTACCCATCAGTGGTGTGTTTCACTTACCGTCACCATCAATTCGCTGTTCATGCGCGTGCCTGACTCATGGTGTATGCACTTCCACAATCCACCACACCTGTGACAACAGCTGATTGTCAGTGCTCGCACAGGCGCTGCACATTGTGTGCTTGTGTGCAATTTGCCTTTTACCATAAAAACAGGCATAGAGCGTGGGTAGGCGGGCCAAAAGAGCCATCATACTGGTTTGCTCTCAGCTGCACCGGGGCACTACCGATTTGGTCGAACCGGGTCGAACCGGCAGCAACTCACCTCTGGTACCCTTGTCTCTTCTCATTTGTGTGTGTGTGTGGATTTGTTTATTTTATTCTTTAAACGTTTTAAAATAAACTTTAAAAAAGACCCCAAATATATATCTAATTATGAACTTGAGATAAACATACATTGACAGTCTAAAACTGAAAAGAGCCATTAACAAAACATGGGAAGCTTTAGTTCTCTTCAGACAAAGCTTGAAATAATAATAGAGTTTTCATCTGCAATATCACTACCTGCCTGCAAATTTACATATATACACAGCTGGGCTACTACTGAAATGCTGAAGATCTCGTCATGAGCCATTCTTTCTGTCTTGTTTAACTTACATGGTGTAATCAGGAAAGAACACATTTTAGAACTTTTATTCTTTCCCAATAAAAGCTTTAGAGTCTATTTCTCCCAGTTTTATCTTACAATACATATGAGAAACTTTAGAATAAATGGAAAAGCTGAACTGTTTGAAAAGGAGAGGTGGAACTCAGTACGTTCTTTTGATAACTAGCCGATAACCTTCCTTGCAAAGTTAATAGTTCACATATTAGGTTTTTCACAAAAAGAGCAGGATGGCTCTCCTCCAATTTTTCTGGAATTCCGCCCATATTTAAATTGTATTAGCAAGACTAACAGTTGAACATTTTTTTCTTTGCTTCCAACAGTAACAATTAAATAGCAATTAAATAATTATCAATTTAATAATATTGCAAAAAGTGCTGGGTCTGAATACAAGGTCATATTAACTAAAGTCTGTATGTTTTGAAAATAGGCTTTATAGATACAGTTTTTCTTTATTAAACCAATTACAGTGTAGTCTTGAAGTAGATCTCTTCTCAGAACCTCTTTCTAGGATCTTAAAAAATCATTAAAAAGGGTGTAGTGGCTGAAGACTGATTGAGATTGGATTTTACAGTTTCTTCCAATCTATCATTTACCCAACAAGAAGTTGTTTTGTATTACGTTTTTTTCATTTCTACATGTTGATACCAGATGTTTTCATAACATTTCAATGCATTTAATTTGTGTGCCTATGATTCTACATCTAAAGATGATCTTAGAAAAATTATACTACTTAATTAAATGAATCAGTTCTCTACCCCCCCCCCCAAAAAATACACTTGTTTCTTGCTTCTTATATATTATCTAATTTTTGAACTATATGCTACTCTTTCCCAGTCCTATTCTGAAATAGTATGTTAACTTCTTTTGAATATTATTTATAATCCCTTGGAAATGTCCTAAATTTTATTCTAGGAACTAGAGAAAACCTTCCATGTTTTGATAATATAAATATCCCACTTTGGGATTATTGTCACTAAAAGAAAAATAATCAAGTTTCATTTAATATGTCAGATGAGATGATGGATACCCTACGTAAACTGATACTTTGGTGTCATTTTGGAATGTCATAGCATCCATAACAACTGTGAGCACCAAGTCTACAGAAACATATTGGCCAGTGCTAGAGAGAGACACATAATGAAATCCTCCTGATTATCACCTAGCTATTACTTTTAATATTTTATAATTAAATATTTATATATTATAATGCTTATTAGATATAGTGATAAAGCACCTGATGATGGAATTTTCCAACTCAGTCTTCCAGAATGTAATTTGATAAAACTTTAGCACATGAAGAAATGTTTGTTAAAAATAATAAATCTGGAAAATATAGGCATTACCCAATCAGCAGATTTCCTGAATCTCTGTCATTGTAAAACTTGATTCCAATGGTCTTTCTGGGAATTCTATGTTCTTATGGATATATAAATTCTTTTGGAGGCAAAAAGTTTCAAAACAGATTTAAGACATGTTTTCAGAAAAGTATGGTACATGTATAGCAGACATATGCACTGTAGCTTTTTCTGATTTATGCAATTGATCTTCCTAACTTTCAAATAGGGATTAATTATCTAATTAGCTCACATTCTCCAATTTTCACAAAAAAAAGGTTTTCATTATCTTTACAGCAGCAAAGGGAAATGATTAACTCACCCAAGAATTACAGTTCAAAAGGATAACAATTTATTTACAAAGAAAAAAACACAAAAAGCAATGACTGACCTAGGCAAGAGAAAATATTTCAAGATTGGGGAAAAAACACTAACCATCAAAATAAATATTTTCTGTCTCTAAAAGGACATCCAGAGTTTTGTAGCACCATCAGGAGTTTTAGCACAAATGCTTTTTGTTAATACAAAGGGTTTTTTTTATCGCTTATTTGTCACAAATAAAAGACTTTGTCTTTAAGAAGTCAAATGATGCTGCCAATAGTCCAGTACCTTGGATAGAAGATTAAAAACAGACACTTTTAAAGCCTGAAGGTTTTTTTAACATTTATAATCTACTTATCAAAGAAAAAAATATTGTAGAAGTTACTGAAAACAGCAGAAACTAGCTTTTTTCTTGACACTGTTTCCACCTACCAAGGATTTAATTTTTATTTTTTCTGTGGCTATTTCAAATAGGCATGCCAAAAACCCAGGTTTTCAATGGTCCTCCAGCAATTAATAAAATGTTCTGACTGGTAGGGAAATTCTCCTCTAATAATTTTAATTCAATCACAGAAACTGCAGATACAAATATGTAAGCCTCTACATAGGTAAAAGATCCTACGTTTTCTCCACCTTGCTCTCCTTTTTTAAACAAATAATTTAGGGCAGAAAAAAATGCTACGCAAAGTGACTGCTGGAAAAGACTCAGAAAGAAAGAAGCCTGAATATCACAGGCCTCTGAAACAAGCCACGGTGCCAATATAACTTGGGTCCCCTGATGTCTTCCTGCAAATGACCCAATTAAGTTCTTGCATGATGACAGCTGTGATGATACCATGAGATCTGCTGCACAATAAACCTATGCCATCATTTGCTCTTCTTGCCTCCACTGTAGACATTCAGGAGCAGCTGGTGATCATAAATGTTGCTAGACGCATTAATACTTCTATGAGAAATGCTTGAGAAAGACAAAAAGATCAATCTTTACAGACCTATTTTTGAAGTGATCATAAAGTCAGCCCAGTCTTTTGCACCTTAAACCCTGTGATTTTGTGATCCACTCTGATAAGATTGGTAAACTGTTTCTGGCACAGGTACAGCTTTAAAAACTCAGTGTTTACCTTGGCTCTTAAATGCAGGCCCTTATTCGGCTCTATTACTGCCTCTGTTGTGACTTTAAAATAAATCTTCTTCGCTTCCTTTGCTAGAATAAATGTAATTGTATAACTACTATCAAAGGAAAAATAATTTCTTCAAGAGCTGAAAATGCTGAATCTAACTGTACATTGTCTATCAGTTGTTTTAGAAAGAAAACATATAACTCAACTGAAAATTAACTCATAGAGATGGGTGGCTGCATAAATTGGACAAATAAATAATTTAATGAATAGATACTTTCCTCTTTACATATCAGCTGATTTAGGTACCTCTAAATCATATCCAAAAATGTCATTGTCTGACCATTTGCAGAGATATGTTTGCAAATCACAGGAATGTCAGAGTATTCACTTGGTGGAGATGTTGCATTTTGTTTTGTATGGAGGAAATGCCGTGTTGTAAGCTCTGACTCAGCATTTCTAATGACAGGATAAGCTGACAGGAAACAGGCAGTCGAAAAAAAGCTAAGGGCAGAGGGGAGGGGAGAACCCTACATGCAAAGTCACGTCCATAAAATGGATCAGATTATTTTTTGCAGCAAAAAAAGTGAAAATTAACCTTTTTTAAAAGTACAAAGGATAAACTCTTCAGGGAAAAAATGTACAATGAAGTTATAGAAAATAAAATATACTATAGAAAGCATATTGCTGAAGCAATTAAATATTTAGTTGTTTGTTAATTGTATTTCAGGACTGACTAATGATGTGAGCAATTAGAAGTAAATGAAGGTGGTTATTGCAATTACAGTACTTCAGTTTTCTATGAGAAACAATAAAAACAAATTTAAGGATCAGTGAGAATGATGGTTTACTATTTTAGAGCTTTGCTCATTAAGTGTTCAAAGTATAACTCCAGAAATATATTCAATTTTATTCAACATATATTTAAAACTTGACAAACTAATTGATTAGTTATATGATAAAACCGTGATGGCGAACCTATGGCACACATGCTGGAAGTGGCACAGAAAGCCATCTCTCCAAGCATGCCAGCCATCTCCCATTGCTCCTCCAGGTTCCGGCATGCACATGCGCACTGGCTGGCTGGTCTTTACGCATGTGGGAGCATCAGGAATCAGAAGAGCAGTGTCCCTAGTGCACATGCGTGAGCCAGGAAGCTGAGCTTCCAGTTTCCAGCACATGCATGTGTGCTGGCCAGCTGGTCTTTATGTGCATGTGCACCAGAAATCAGAAGACTATTGTGCATGTGCATGCCGAAAAGATTTGTCAACACTTTGATAGAACATATATTAAAAAAGACATGATTTCAGACAAAATAAAACTTTCAGCAATCAGAATAGTTTGATTCATTGCTGTTTAAATAGTCAACTCTGCTTAATCATTCTGAATAGGTAAAGGAATATTCAGATTTCTTTGAAAGTTAAAATATTAGAAACCAGCCTTTTAAAATACCAGTTAGTTTAAATATTAGCCAAACTGATAGGTTCACCCTCTTGTGAAAAATATGGCCATCCACAAATAAAGCTTTTGGAATCTTCAATCAGATAAGTTGAATTTCTTTTCTTATTCTAATTACACTGAGAGTACTAAATCCTTTCAACTGTAACGTCACTGCTATGAAAGAAAAACGTGGATGTAAAGAAACTTCTATGTCTGATAACTTGGCAAAAATATATGAGATGGGATTGTTTTCAGTAGCACATTTGAAGCTGCCAAAAAAACTAATGATTCTGCATCCAGAAAGGATAATTAAAAGGATCTGAAAGCACCCATTTAAAAAAATCTTTTTAAAATTTGTGGATGAGTATGGTGTTAATTTTCAAAGAAGGAATGGAAGTGAACTATAATTAGAAGAAAGTAGTTTAACCACTATTACTGACCACTGCATCTGAGTTGAAAAATAGTTTCAAAGAGAAACCAGAGCAGCTTGCAAGCATTTGCTTTACTATAGGAGGAATGAATAAAATTGGAAACTTGTATAAAAAAAAAAATTAAATACAATTCAACAGTTGTGTCAAACAGAAACCTAATTACAGAACTTCATTTATCAAGTCTGTTATTAAAGAAAGGCTGTAGCTACTGTGATTTGCAGACAAACTCACAAGGTATAAGAGTTTCCCAGAAATAATCTTTTGGTTGCTATATTAACAAGGAGTGTGCAACAGTTAAATGATTACTTTTGTCTTTAAATCAGTTTTATGACCTCACAGATTAGCAATGCCTTATTAACTGGGAAGAACTGTCAAAACCCAAAAGTGCTTTTTCCAGAGGCAACTGGACTTTCTGGTTTTTCTTTGAAGATGTATTGCTTCTCATCCACGAAGCTTCTGCAGCTCTGAAAAAGCTTCTTGGATGAGAAGTAAAACATCTTCAAAGAAAAAACAGAAAGTCCAGTTGCCTCTTGAAAAAGCACCTTTGGGACAACAATGACCTGGATGACTGAGAATCTTCATAGACATTGGAGACAAAACCAGTCAGTGGAAATTTTCTGAATTATAAAGCATAATATTGGCTTCACTGATTTTCAACTTGTGTTCATTATTTCCTTTTATTTTTTATGACCAGTGTCATAGTTCAGAGCAGGGGTATTCAACCCCTAATCCAGAGACTGATACTGGTCAACCTTTGGGAATCAGGCCATGCAAGTGGCGGGTGAGCATGTGAATGTGCAAAGCTCCATTTGCACAAGTGGAGGGTGTACATGTGAAACCATCCCATCCCCACCACCACTGATCTGCGCAGCTGGAAAGGTTGGGACCATTGATTTAGAATATCAATAAAGGAGAATATTTGTAACTCGGTGTTGAAATGAAGGTTCCTTGGAGCTCTCTGAATTTGATTGTTTTCTTGCAAATGTTTCATTACTCAAATTAGATAACAGTCTAGCACTGAGAGAGCACCAAAGAACCCTCAATTTAGAGAATATCTAGTTTCTATACTCCTTTTAATATCCCCATACAATTAAAAATACCTCTTAAAACTAATCATTTTGACTTCCTGGGCATAATTAGGAATGTACAGAAGTTATTTACTATTTTCAAATAACGATCCATTGTACAGCTGATGTATAATGTAGCATGTTCCAAGCAAGAGTAATCACCTGCAATCTATGATGCACTGTGTTTGTGGAAGTGAATTTCTGCCATTGACTGAATAAGTAATGGATGGGTTGGAATGATGTATTAGCCCCCTTTAGGTGAAAATTCTTTCGCAGATCTGTCAAAGTTATCATCCTATCTATAAAAGACATTTGGCTGTGTACCTTGACTCCTGTCTAAACAGGAGACACAGTGAAGATTTTGTTCCAGTGCCTGGTGGCTGTGAGAGTCTGGATTGCTCAAATTCAAACCCAGTAAATCAAAGTGGTTTTGAGTGGAAAAGTCCTCTGATCCCATCTTCAGCTTTGGACTGGTGGAGTTGTAATCTGGAATCCTCCCGCTTCATAGCTTCTGTTTGAACAACAGATGGGAGCTGCTGCTATGAGGGGTTTTTCATAGTTCCTTATTCACTGGTTATGACCTTTTCTGCACTGAATGGCCTTGCTCACATTCACTAATGCCTTATTTCCCATTTAGATTACTCAGATGTGCTGTAGATGGGGCTAAATTTGAAGACCACCCAGAACTTATGATCCAGAATGCAATTTGCCCATGTTAACACCTCTACTTCGAGGGCTGCAATGATTACCAATTTTTTTCTGAGTGTAATTCAAGGTGCTAGTTGGTGTATGTAAATCCCTTCATCGGTTCAGGGTAGAAAGGCCTCTACCCGATGTTATATCCCTTGTCCTTTGAAGTCAGTAATGTAAGGTTTCCTCCAGGTTCTCATCCTTCAAAAATGCTATCTGTAAGGATTCCCTATGTCAGAGCTTCTCAAACTATCTTCTTTGAAATAGATTTCTTCCTCACATGAAATGGGTTATAACTTTGATAGATTTCATAAAGTCATCAAGAATTATTTATTTTAGCAGACTTTTGCGATGTAAAGGGGGAACAGATGTATATGTTACGATTGTTTCTCAATGTCTGAGTAGCCTATATTGTTTATAAGCTACTCAGAAGGGCACATAAGCTTAATAAAATAGATAAGCAAAATTGTAGCAATTTTTAAAAAATCTTTCAAAACTATGCAAGGTGGAAAAAAATAGCACTGTAAATGGTTACCATTAAGAAGTAACGATTAAGAAAAAAGTGTTTTTAAAATAATTATTTAAGAAAATCATTATTCAAACTACAGGAAAGGGAGCATAAAAATAACCACAGCATCATTATAGTTTTTCTCTTTTTGCTATAATAATTTCATCACAATATTATACAGTAATATCAGGTAGCAGGGAGAGGAGAATCTACACTGCTACTTAACCAGAAGTTAGTTATCACCATCAATCATTGTTGCTCTTGTGCCATGGAGTAGGCAAGCAGATACAGTATGTCAAAAAGATTGTACTGATAAACAGCCTCTGTATATATGCATGTCTGGGGTGTGAGTTTTCTTTTCAGTGTATCTTCACTAGGATTCAGGAAATAAATATTGACAGTAACCAAGAATTATTTCTTCTTGAAATTGGTCAATCAGAGTTCAAAAAAATATCAGAGTCACTATTAGATATAATTTTAGATATAGTTTCATACATTGCTGTTTATAAACTTCATTGAATTTGAACAATTTTTGTGGAAACTCTGGCAAGCAGTTCCATTTTACAGTTCACCTTTACTAAATGTAGCACAGTAATAAATGTACAATAAATGCTGTTAACCTGGAACATGTTTATTCTTAGACAACTGCATGGTTAATGTCCAACCATGACATAGTTTCATTAATTAACAGCAGTATAAAACTA